GAGATTGTCCTGGATAAAATTTCGGTGAGTTTGGTTAGAGGGCAACCGAGAACCGCTGTGCTCGCTAAGAACCCTGATGGCCAGGCCAAGGAAGTGGGAAGGATGCCTCTCGCCGCAAGGTCCATTTCTGACGCCGGGCGCTGTCAGCGGCCTCGTCCAGCAAAGCCTGCGACCACAACTCTCTGCAAAAATGCATATGATGCAGGCTCTCCGGTGACTTCCATAGTGCCCCTATCGTGCCCCACGATGATCACATGCATCTTACTGCCCCTTACACCTTCCAGCAAGACTTGCCTCCAGCTCATCTCCTCTTGCGGACCTTGGCCAGATCACTTTAGCCTAACGGTCAGACATCTTCTAGCAGCACAACATTCACTGGATAGTCTCGCGGACATGTAGACTACCCACCTGCCTGCGAACTCACACATGCCTGCACGCGTTTACCTAAGGTGATCCTATGTGATCGTACTGCACATGAACATGAGATACTTTCAACATGATTCAACACTAACGTTCCGCCTGAGGGATGAATGCAGGCTGCAGGAGGTCACTTCCTTGTGATAGGACTGGGAAAACTCAGATGCTGGCTCCATCGGCATTTGCCCATATACCCGCAGTATGGCAGCAGCAGCGTCCTCTGCATCTCCGGCCTGAGACTCTGGTGCTTAGCGGAGGGCATCTAGATTCTGTGGCACCTTAGTTCCTCTTTGGCTCTTCTTCCGGAGTGTCCCAATTGTCACAACAGTGTAACAGCTACATCTTTCGCAACGCCAGTTTCCGCCCCTTTCACTGGTGGGGCACCGCGAAACATATTCCTGCAACGACTTCCTGTAAATTATTGTGCAGCTGCTCCGCGTTGGCCTGCAATGCTTGCAACTTGCTTGAGCTGCATGTTGCGCATGCTTTAACCATGATCCGCGATGGGAGCAAGACTGCCGAAGCAATGCTCGTGCATGCCCAAACGTGGCAAACAGCGGAGCATGCCGCCCTCTTCCCTGCACTCGAGAGCAGCTGAGACTGGAGCTGATAGAGCGGCGGCTCGGTCTGCGGTGATGACCTTGCGAGCGCCCATGCTTCCTACTGTGCTTCCTTATGATCGCGAAGGCTTGCGATCGCGAACGCGAAGGCGTGCGAACACGACCTGCTGGCGCCAAGAAGGCCGGCTTTCGATTACACCAAAACCAACATGACTGCAACTGCTTGCGGCTCTCTGCCCCACGTGCCCATGCTTCTTCCTTCAGCCAACGGCAGAAGAACGCCCACAGCTGGCAATGACTGCGCTGGCCTCGGATGCATCGCAGGTTGCACGAAACGAGGCCAGTTATCAGAGGGGCGATGAACAAGCTCTACACAACGTCGTCCACAAACTGCAAACAGGTGGTGCCGGAATCTTTCTGATAGTCTCGGATCTCCACGCTGCGCAGAGCCCCGAGTTGCACCAGGATATGCATGAAAGGCCTTGGCGCAGGGCCAAGCTTTTAGTCTGCAGAACACTGGCATCCCCGGGCCGGATCTGAGGCATGGAACGCCATCAGGGAGACCATCGGAGCCCAAAATGCAGGCCGGCGGTGGCCCGACAGCTGCAAGCCTGACGATAAGCCATCACCTCCCTGCCCTGGACCTGGACATCTTGAGCAGGGACCTGCCTGGAAGAGCAAGCCCGTTCATGCCTTGCCGAATGGAGTCCATCCTGCAGAGAGCAGATGCCCGAACTCCACCCAAGTCATCAAGGCCAGAATTCGTCTATCCGAAGCTGGAGTCAAACATGGCAGGTCCACATTGACTCCGGCCCCCCACGGGCCAGCACCCCAAGCCAAATGATCGGACGAAGGACCTGACTGCACAGACACCGGTGCATCACCACCATCAAGGCCATCTTGGCTACCTCTTTCACCATGGAAAAGAGTGACCAAGTGAGCCTTCGTACGCACGCTCAGCCCTCCGCCCGGGGAGCTGCATGCTTCACGACCATATCAACAGCCTGGGACAAGCAAACGAAGCCCAATTGTGCAGCATGCCTCCCGTCACTGCATGTGGGTCAGGTTTGCCTCATGTTCTCCGAGCGTTTAGATACGTCCAGTGAAAGTGCGTCTGCCCTGGAGCTTCCAGTTGGTGGGCTTAGAAGCTCTTGTATCGTGCATGCAAGGCGACAGACTTCTGATGCAGTCCTTGAGTCCCAAGGGCTCAGACCCAAAAGGCAGGAAAAGGCAGGAAATCCGCTCAGCCGTTTTCGGGGCATGGTGCTAGACCACTGGTCCCGGCATGTCGCAGCAACAGCTTTCATGGTCAAAGCCCACGGCCAGCATCTCCATGATGGGACGTACGATGCCGCTTGAGAGCTGTGGTCCCTGAGCATTCGAAGTGCACCTAAACTTGACCTTCATTCTCCTCCACTGATTCACTGCTTCCACTCGCCGAGCCTGGAGGACGCCTGCTCCCTCCTGGGCATGGCCTTATAGGGTTTATAGGGTTTAT